GGCTCCAGCTGGCGGTGCATGGCGCCCTCTGGTGGCCATATGTGGGTATGACATGGCTCACAGTGCCTGCCCTGGGTGCTGGGAGGACTGAGACTGGGGAGAATGGGGGGGGTCTGGCTGGAGGGTGCACCCCACCCTTTAAGGCCCAGTAGGCCACGGGCAACCTCTTCAGGTTCATCGGGCCCAAATGAAAAAAGGTGTGGTAGCTTCAAGTCAGTCAGCCCTGACTTCTTTCTGCTCTTCATTTGCAAAGATTTATTGAGCGCCCGTTGCACGGCCTACCTCTCTGCAGGTAATGAGGCGGCCAAGCCTGGAGGTCAGCCAGGCCCCGGCACCCCTTGCTCACACTGAGCCCACGCTGAGTGAGCAGGGTACCTCGAGGGCTCCCACTGGGGCCCCCAAATCCCATACCCTAGTGCCTCCCTCAGGGGCCCAGGAAATGCCGCCTGGACGGGAAGCGTTTGGTGTCACGAGGTCCTTTCAGAGCAGGGCCATTCCAGCACCTCCTTCCCTGGCCTTGCACTCCTCCGTAGATTTCCGTGAAGCAGGGCCGCCCTGAGCTGCCCAGGGCTACACTGCTCCCCACCCTACTCCACCCCAGCCGGAGTGGCTGCGCATAGGAAGGCCAAGCTCAGCCTGAGGAAATCAGCAGGGCCGCCCCTTGGCCCCCAGCCTCAGACCTCCTAAAAAGCAAGAGACGCCCTGGGGCTTCATTGTGTGATGGGGGTGCAACCTTCAGAAAAGAGACCAGGAAAACGGCAAGCCTGCAATCACCCTGGGCAGGGACCCTTACCTCACCACACACACTCCTGGGGGTGTTTTCCCCCCACAACTCCTCACAGCTGTGAGCACATCTGTGAGGCAGGGTGAGGAACTAAAGCACAGAGAGATTAAGTGGTGTGGCCAGGGTCACACAGCCAGTGGGCGCTCCCGTAGCAGTGAATCAGCAGACTCAAAGCACAGTGTTGTTTTTTGCTTTTTTTAGTTTTTTTTTTTGACCCCAGGGCCTGCACATTGAGCTACATCCTCAGCCCTTTCAAAATTTTTAATTTTAATATAATACTTATAAATATTAATAAAGAAAATATTTTAAAAGCACTCTTCTATGAAAAAATAAAACAAAATTTCATAACAAAATAGAGAATAACAACAATAATTAGACAATAATAATTAGAAATTATGTACCATTAAAAAAAAAAGAAATTGTGTACCATAATCTTAAAATAATGGCCAAAATGTTACTCAGAGTACAAATCATAAGACAAAAAACACTCTTTTTTATTTTTGTGACAAAGTCTCACTAAGCCACTAAGTTGCCTGGGCTGGGCTCAGATTTGCAGTCTGCCTGCCTCAGCCTTCCAGAATGCTGGGATCATAGCCCTGCGCCAGCACACCCAGCCAAACGAACCACAGGGTTCTTGAGAACCCTGGGCCATTTTCCTGGGCCATCCCGCCTCCGCCTACGACCTGTTTTCAGGATGGGTGAGAAGGGGGTGCATCCATGTGCAAGTTCCTGTGCTGCATCCTCATTCTGTCCTTCCCAAAGTCCCTCAAGACAGATGTCGCCCTTGGGTTCAGCTGGGGGCCTTTTCCTGGCTTCCCTGGACAGGGATGAAGGTGATGATGGCAGGTGGTATGCTGAGGCCCTGTCTTGGCAGCACATGGGGAAGGAAGGCACAAGCCCACATGGGCAAGGTGTCCCTCCTGGGCATCAGCAGGAGCCCTGTGAAGCTGGGGCTGTGGCAGGTGATGCTCCATCTGCACTACAATCTGGGCATCCTGGGCATTGACGTGGCCATGTTAGAGCAAGTACATCCAGCCCGCCTGCCTCTGTCTCCTGTTGGCCATCCCGAGGTCCCCTGTGGGCTACAAGTGCATGATCTCAGGCTGGGGTAACACACAGGAGGGGAACAGTGAGTGGCTGCCACAACTGAAAGGATGATAGTTTTATTCTCCAGAGGCTGGCCTGGGGAGAGAAGGGCTGGGCCGTCTTCTCTGGACCCCAAACCAGTCCCATTGCACCGGGGCCTCTGTGCTGACCCATCTCACAGCCTGTGAACCATTCCCCACTTGTGATGCCAGAGAGCCACAGGTGGGCCCACTCCTGTTTAAATAAAGTTTTATTGGCACATGGCCCATGCAGGTTCATTGACAGATCATCCACAGCTGCTTTCCTGGCCAGGTTGAATAGTGGGGAGAGAGACTGGCTCATAAAACTGAAAATATGGGGAAAGCTAGCTGACCCTGCACAATACCATTCACAGACCCCCAGCCAGAGTTAATGCTCCCGTAGAGACCCCAGAATGGCTTTTGTACAGGTTATGGGAACAGAGAGGAGACCCCAGGGCTCCACGCTGGGAGTCTGGGAATTGCCTCCTTGTGGAGGCCATGTGCCTCTGGGGTGCCTCCACAGGGGAGGGACAGCACTTCCTCTCAGGGCCATCAGTGCTGAGCTGGCCACGGTGCAGTGGTCACTTGCTAAATGGTACTTGGCACCCACTTCTCCCAGCAGCCACCTAGCCTGACATTCTGCAGAGGGCATCTGTGGGTATCATGGACCAGAAAACCTGTAGGGTACTCTAGTTTCTCCCTCACCAACCACAGGCGGGCAACACTGGGGACAGCAGGCAAAGTACGACAGCACATCAGTGCCCTCACCACAGGGAGGCTTCTTGTGCAGACTGCATTTTGGAAGTGTCCAGAGAAACCCAGAGGGGATCCCTCCAGGTGTCTTAGCCTCAGGAGACTGGGGGTGGGGGTGCAGCTCAGTGGTGAGCAACTGCTTAGTGTGAGCAAGGCCCTAAAATCCATGCCCTTGCACAAGAAAGAGCAGCCAAGAGGAGACAGAGGGAAAAGCTTAGTGATGAACAAATAAGTTTTTTCAGCATTGGGGATTGAACCCAAGGCCTTTGCACTGAATTACATCTCCTTTTTCTTTTTTATTTTGAGACTGAGTCTCGATAGATTACCCAGGTTAGGCTTGAGTTAAGATTTTCCTGTCTCAGCCTCCCAGAATGCTGAGGTGACAGGTGCACACCATCTAGCCTGCTCTTGAATCTTTTTTACTTTTCCACAACAAAACCAAGGACTGAGGCTCAGAGAAGTGGCTGGCATAGGTCACACAGCAAGGCCTGGGGCCGAAGCCAGGTCTCCTAAGTGCCAAGCTGAGCCACTCTGCTCCTCCAATGGGTCAATGGGGAGGGCCTGGAAAGGCACCCCACTGGTCCTTATCTTGTAGGGTGAGTGTGGGGGGGGGGTCCCTCTGGCCTGTGAGGAGACCCCTGGTGTGTTCTACCTGGTAGGAATTGGGAGCTGGGTTGTCAGCTCCACCCAGGCCAAGAAGCCTGGCATATATCCACACCACCAGGCTGAAGGGCTGGGTCCCGGACGTCATGTCCTTGGGGACCCTCCTTACCTCACTCTCCTCAAGCAGGATGCTGGCCCAACCCCCGCCTCAAGGCCCTGAGGGTCACCAGCAGCAGACCCTCCACACCCAAGGCCACCAGCTGGGTGACCATTCCCCCCTACCACCACCATAATCACGTCTGCTGTGGATGCCCCCAGTAGGGGACAGATGCCACCTCTGGAACCCCAGAGACCACTATGCACTCCTAGCTGCCAGGTGCCATGAGAAATGGGGGAACATGGGAGGGTGGTGATGTCCCATGTGGGTCTGCAGGGGGCCACTAGAATTCCACAGCCAAGGTGGCTGAGACATCTATTCCCCAAAACTCTGGAGGCCACAAGTCCAATTTGGAGAAGTTGGGGTCTGGTTCCTCCTGAGTCCTCTCTGGTTTACAGACAGCACCTTCTTCCTGTGTCCTCTGTTATATATCCCAGGCTGGCCTCAAACTCTAAATCTTCCTGCCTCAGCCTCCCAGCATGCTAGGATCACAGGTGTGCACCACCACACCCATCCCTGAACTCCGTTTATAAAGACATCAGACCTAGGAATGGTCACATTCTGAGGTCCTGGGGGTTTGGGCATCAACATCTTGCAAATAAATGCCTTATCCTGCCACTCATTTGTCTGGAGCCAGGTGCGCTGGAGGTACATGGCAGGGAGGGATGGGGTCTGCATCGCAGGATTCTCATCATTCAGCCCATATTTTGTTGTTTTCTCAGTACTCAGGACCTTGCGCTTGTGAATTCAGCCCATGTTTGCAACACATTACCTGGTACTGGGAGCTCAGTCTGGTGACACCAGGGCAGGTGGTCAGGGTAAAGGGAGACATGGACAGATTATGCTTTTGTAATCTTGCCAAGCACAGGCTGGGGGCTACTTTTTTTTTCTTTTTTGGTGGTAGTAGGGACTGAATCCAGTGCCGTATGAAGGCACTGAGCTACATCCCTAGCCTTTATTTTGAGACAGCATCTTGCTAATTTGCTAAATTCCCCATGTTAGGCCAGAACATCCAGGAGTGACCACGAGGCTGCCCAGGCCTGGGACAGGAGCTACTGGCCACCCATGCACCCAGGGCAGGCAGTGGGGGTGCTGCAGGAATGGTGCGCAGTTTACATATTTTGTTCAAATAAACAGCCCCTCCCCCTTAGCTTTCTGGCTCAGCACCTCCATGTCCCAGCAGAGTCCTGACCCTGGAAGTAGGGGGAACCAGGAAAACAAGGTTCCCAAGGGAGCAGATGTTCCTCTTAGCTTTAAGTATAGCGATGGTGCCAGCCCCATTTCCAAGCCTCCCCTCACCCTGCTTTTATCAGTATTGGGGACTAAACCCAGGGCCTTCCCACTGAACTACATGCCCAGCCCTTTTTTATTTTTGAGACAAGGTCTCAATAAGTTGCCCAGGCTGGGCTCAAACCTGAGATCCTCCTTCCTCAGGTTTTCGTAGTGCTAGGATGACAGGTGTTGTTCAATGCTTCCTTCTGTGCTGGCAACACATTCTCTTCAAGCCAACAGCCCAGAGGCACCAAGAGGTAATATGGATGCCCCAGAGAAGGCTGGGGCCCAGTATGGCAAAGGACAAAAGATGAGTGGCACCTTCTTCCGAACACCTCCCCCAACGAGGGAAAATGCACGGGGTTTCTTTGCCCCTGTCAGCAATTTATTGGTCCACCCTCAGGAGGTCACAGCTGCCCTGGGGACTCACCACCTCCACCCCAAGAAGGTCAAAGCAAATGTTCTCAGCCCAGGGCAGGAAGCTGACCTGGGCATACTAGGGGAGGGGTCAGCGACTCCCAGGCCGCAGGACGTCCACTGAGCTGTCATGAAAGCACAGGTTCCCCAAACCCACGTTGCACTGGTTGGCAGAGAACACAGTTCCAAATGTCCCCTCACCATCGTGTCATCCTTGTACACCATGAGCAGGCAGGGTGACCGTGCTAGTTCCACCTCACAAAGCACGTTTACAGAGATGGAAACTGAGGCGGGGTAGCCAGGGGTGAGCTCCAGGGCTACTGCAGCGCTTCTCGGTTACATGTTGGCTCGTTCCCGCTGCAGTCGTGAATTATAGGCGCGGGAAACTGTGTTCCAGGCATCCATGTAGCGGTCCATACACATGGCGATGCATTTCTAGGTGCAGAGAGGGAGGGGACGTACAGCTCAGTTCCAACCCTTGCACACAGCGACAGGTAGCCACAAGCCAAGCCACTGGGGTCGCGACTGCGCACGCGGTATTGCCAACGGCACGGCCCATCGCCCCGCGCACGCGCAGAAGCTTCGCGGCGCCGCTCCACAACCTGCGCACGCGGAGAAACCGCGACACGCCGTTAGCCTGCGCACGCGCAGACGCGTTTCCATGAGGCTGGAAACCCTCTCAAACCCCCAAATTTGTACCCTCCAGAGTTCTCACCTGTTCCGAATTGTCCAGGGATCCCCCTGGCTTCCCAATGCACTTCCGGAAACACTTGTCGGTCATCCTCTGTGGACACACGCGAAACCTGGGCCGCGATGCCCGTCCCCCGGGGTTACCCTCTCCGCCTCACCCCCATTCCCGGGCGCCCAGTACCTGCAGTAGCTCCTGAGCGTTGGCCACGGCAATTTGCACTTTCACTTGTTCCATGATGAGCCCTGGGTCCAATTTTCCACCGCCGGAGCCCACAGAATCCGAACTGAAGCCACCCTCCATTTCTCCGCTAAATCAAATCGGCCTCGAACCAGCAGCCATCCGAAACTGAGTCTCCCGGGGCACAATGGGAAGTGTAGTCCGGGCTACAACTCCCACAAGGCCGCACGCGGCACACCACAGTTGCGCAGCAGGCCAGGCCACGGCAGGTACCCTGGGAAACAGAGTCTAGAGTTCAACACCCGCAAGGCCGCGCGGGGCTCCTGGCGCATGCGCGACTAGATCTCCCTGGTGGGATTTAGCGAAGAAAAAGGAGCCAGGGGAGGGCTTTCGGCACCTGGGCCCCGCCCCCGGCTCGTAGGTCGCTCCTGAGCACAGGGCGCTCTTGCCTTTCCACTGGATTGGGGGTTCGATTGCAAAGGGAGTGGGTGCTGCCACGGGTCGCCAGCTTCTTTAGTCCCCAGCTTCCAGGCTTCGAGAGCACCTGGGAAGCAGCATTTAAAATCAAAGTGTTCATTGGAGTCTTGTACAAAAGTTTCCAGTCACGAAATGTATATCACAAATTGGTACAGGAGATGAAATATGACAATATTATATCTCCCAACCTGTTAGATGTCTGACACGCCAAGTTCGTGTTCTCTAAAAATCAAAGAATGAATTCTAGGCTGGGGATTTAGCTCAGTGGTTCCGCTGCCTGCCTCGCAAGGACAAGGACCTGAGTTCAATCCCCGGTACCAAAAAACCAAAACAAATCAAAGAATGAATTCTAGAAACAACAGAGGTTAAGAGTAGGAAAATATTTATTGAGAGAGATCCAGGAGGGGACCTGAATGGGTAGCCGGGGACCCAACTTTACCGGGAGGTTTTATAGAGTAAAACCCACGTTTACAGCTATGATCAACCAAGGAGGTTACAAGTATAGTCGCTTAATGCTCCGATAGGGAAACAAGTCACATAACGTGTATGGAAGAACAAAGACTTATTCTAAGAAATGATGGGTCCGGAGTTCTTGGTCACCCACTGGAGTGCCTAGTGTCTAGCTAGACTTCATTGGCCTAGTGTTTGCCTTTTGAGAAGTATGTAGGCCTGGCCATTTTGTCTTTATCTCGACAAAATGGTTTTCTGGTTTCCAGCACATCTCGTTTCCAACAGATGTGTCTGCAGCCACAGTTGTGATGTGTTTCACCTTTATCCTGACTCTCAAGGGCCTAACCCTATCTGAGTGCCTGTAATATTTCTACCTAACTTAGCTGTCTATAATAAAATCACTGAGGAAAACACATTTGACCTGTGCCTTAAAAACCCCAACAAAACCTCCTAAAGGAGCCACTCAGCCTGACACCATCGGAGACCCTGTCCCTTGCAGGCCAACTGGATGCTGTATCCACCCGGGAACATTCCCCTAACTCAGATCTTTAGTGTAAATGGAGCTGGGCTAAGACGAGTTACGGAAGCAGGTGTAGGGTCAGGATCCAGTCAGACATCATGTCTGGCCTTAGATTTGGCTTGGTGGCCGTCGGATCTCTCTCCAGGAAGAGTGTTATAAGAAGTAATAAACCTAAGCATATCTGGGCAAGTGCACATGTTTCCACAGGTCACATTCCACTTGTACAAACCGACACCGCCAAGTGTCCAAATGGTTGATTACTAGTGACCATCAAACTCCAATCACCAGCTGGCTGCCCAGTCTACCCCCACACCCTCCCCAGCAAGGGCACCCAGGGCCCCAGCTGTCTCCTGGAAGCAGCCAGGGCACAGATGGGGCGGGGGTGAAGGGCTGGTGGGATGCATGGCCACTCTCTCTGGCATTTGAGGGCCTGCTGCCTGCAGCAGTTCAACAAACCACAGGCCCAACTCCAGGTCAGGGCATGGACCCCCCCACACACACAGACACACAGCAAGATGTGTGTAGGCTCCCTAGGCCTGGGAAGTGCTCCCATTCAAGGCTGCCTGCCAGGGCCCACATGCTTCCTGCTATGAAGGTGAGACAGGGCTTCCATAGCACAGGGCTTCGGGGACCCCAAAAGGGGTGACAGGTCAGGTTGGAGAAGGACACATCTGATGCCAGGACAGGCCAAGAGCTCCAGGAGGCCATCTGGAGCAGCTCAGCCTGTGTGGACCTTCTGCAAGGGGCAGTCTGGTTAAGACATGGCTCCCTCTGCCTGGGAAAACACCTTATGCCCTGGGAACTTGGTCACCATGTGGGAAACTGGGGACTTCTAACAGCAAGGCCAGCACCAGGTTCTAGGGTTGTCAGCGGTGACATTTGTTGGCCCCTGGCTCCTTCCTCTCCAAGAGCAATTCTGAAGGAAAGCAAGCCAGACCCGTGGGGACAGGAAAGTCTGCTCGGGCAGATCAGGATGGCTGTGGAAACAGCAAGCGCCCACAGCTCAGCATGGGTATAAGATCTGAGCTGCACTTTCTGAAGGAAGTTTGCTATTCAGGGGCACAGAGCTCCCTGGACAGGTCCCCCTGCCCTCGTGCCACCCCTGGGAGGATGGTGGGACCCCTTTGCACCCTGGAGACCTGCAAACTGACAAATGTAAAAAAAAAAAAAAATCTGTTAAAAACAAGGAAACAAACTTCCGTGTATCTACATGGAAGGGTAAGTGGCTATGGGAAGGGGGTACCAGGGGCCAGGGCCTGGGCTGCAGTGTGGAGCCATCCAGACAGGGTCCCTTGGCCTTTAGGTGTCTGGCTGAGAAGTGTAACCTCTGCAGAAGTCACAGAGGAAAGTTACACTTGCTATATAAATATATGTACCCAGGAGACAGGACAGGGGCTTCTGCAGTCTCCCCAATGTCACTGACCTCTGGGAGGTCTGAAACAAGCTGCATGTTCCCTTGACTTGTCCCTCTGGCGTCTTGTGGTGACAAGGCTTAGAATGGCAGGGTCCCCATCTCCCAGGCTTCCTCCTCTCCTGCCTGTGGGTCCTGCAGGCTCAGAATGAGAGCTGTAGGAAGCAGCTGAGGCCCAGAGAAGCCAGCCACCCTCCCGTCAGGCCATCTGGACCCAGGCCACTCCCCATTGTTCAAACTCACTCTTGACCCACGGGTGGGTGCCACTAAATCACGACTGGCCAGTGCCACCAATACCCTTACACCAGGCTGGAACCTGGATTTTGATTTTGGATTTGAAAAAGGTTAAGAAAAATCAAACTATTCCACAACTATGGAATCTATACTGCTTTGCCCTCTTTCTGGCACCAAAGCAATGGGGAGGTGGACCTCAGTGGCAGCACCACCCCTCCTGGCCTCCAAGTTCCTGGTCCTGGGTCTCAAATTCAACCTAATGAGGGCCAGGGATTTAGTTCAGTGGGGCTGCTGCCTGCCTTGAAAGCACAAGGTCCTGAGTTCGATCCCCATACCAAAATAATAATAATAATAATTCAACCTAATTGCCAACTTGGGGGTGAGGAGCAGAGAGTCTGGACAGCAAAGAAGGAGTGACGAAGGGACAGACGGCCCAGGGGCACCATGGACAGGACTACAGAGACCCCCTCCCCAACATGTGCTTTAAGATCACCTAGAAATGTATCCAGGACTCGACTCATGGAAGTCATGATAGCAAAGTAGTCCCTGGGGCTCCACACGACAGGGTGGGGGCAGTGTGGTCACATCAGGTGGCAGCCCCTAGAGGTGGCCCCCTGGGCTCCCTGTAAAGAAGGAAGGGAGGAGAGGCTGACAGCTAGGTTGGAGGCTTAGCCCCCAACAGCGCAGAGTCAGTATGGTCCCTATTTCCAGACAGGCCCTTCCATCCCTCCCTCACCCTGACCCAAGCTATGTGGGAGTCAGAGGAGTCTTAGGGTGTGTATTTAACACAGCGCGATTGCTGGACTCCATCTTCCCCAAAGCCACTGTGTAAGCAACCAGCGCCTCCCCTGGAGGTGCTGTACTAGCTAACGTGAGTCTTGGGGGCCGCATTGGCTTCTCAAACCCCACCTCGATGGGCACAAGGGCTCTACCTGTTGGTGGAGAAGATCCTCCTTGCCAGACTCAGCCCTCCTCCACCTCCTCCTGCCTGCTCTCCCACACCGCCAAGGTCTGCTTCATTGCTCTCATAGCCACTTTCTGTGCCAGTCATGGGTCTCTTCACAGGTTTTTTCATGACTTCATGTTCCCTCAGGGGGGTGTTCCCTCGTTCCCTGAAGCATCCAGATTCACCCATGGGTGTCTCTACAGTTTCCTTCATAGGTTCAGATTCCCTTGTGGGTCTGTTCCTGGCTTCCCTGACCGGTCCAGTCTCCCCTGCAGGTCTCCCTGGGTTCCCTCACCGGTCTCCTGGTTGCAGCCCTGCTGGCCTCCAGGGCTCCCTTGGCAGCTCGCTGTCTCCCTATGGCTCTCGGGAGCCAGGCGCAGCTCCACACCTGCCCAGGCATCCTTCCAGCCTAGCTGTCCTGAGCACCGACTGCCTGAGGTAGCCCCACAATGGACTCTGATGGACAGGGTCCAACCAGAGGACCCTGTGGGCCCACGCCCCTCCCCCAGCTCAATCCCTGGATTATTCATGTGGGCCCTAAATCCAATGACAAATGTCCTTAAAGAGTTACACAGAAGAGGGACACAGAGAGGAAGAGGCCATGTGAAAACAGAGGCAGAGACTCAAATCACAATCTCCAGGACATCTGTAGCCCCAGACAATGGGGGAGCTTGGAAAGATCCTCCCTGGAACCTTGCAGGGACCACAGCCCTGCCCAGGATCTGGGATCTCAAGAACCATGGGAAGACAGACCTGAGTCATTGCCGGCCACTGGCCACAGAAGCCCAGGACACAGACAGGCCTTTGTAGCCGATGACTGAGCCACACACGCGCATCTACACAAACACACTCTTCTGGAAGTCCAGCTCCTTTGGCAGGATCTGGCAGCAGTTCTCAAGGTCTACATCATTAGCATCTCCTTGTCCAGCTGCTTCTTGGCCACTGTGTGACCATCCTCTGCTGTGGACAGGACAATGGGCTGTGGGTGTGTGCCATGGCCCACATGGCAGAAGGGTTCAAGGAGTGAGAAATGATGGTGAGAGATTAAGAAAGACAGACAAAGAGATATAATAAGGTATAGGTGGGGCCAGGTGCTGGCTCTAACTCCTGATGGGAGAAAAAGACCACCAAGCAAATGGCCGCACATTTATTTGTAGCGGTAGAGATAAGGGAAGCACAGGGAGAGGTAAAAAGGCCTGGTCTGTAACCAGAGCCAGGAGAGTAGCTAAGGTCTGCAGGACATCATGCTTGATGTTTCTCTGGCGAATAGGCAAATGGGCTGGAAGGAAGACAGTCCTCTTCT